TTATGCAAAATTGTCACGGGCATTTTTTATGGAATAAGCCGGTAAACGAGCAGACGGATTACCTGATGGTAAGCAACCGGCGCCGCCAAAAGACACACGAGACACCAGAAGAGGTGTTACAAGTACGTTACATGCGTATTTGGGATTAGGAATTTGAGAATTGTTGGCGATGGATGGGATTGCGGAGATTGGGGGTATTTTACGTCGGTTTTCTGTGAGGCCGTGTTGATGCTAATGCGAATGTAGCGACATAATATGTTGCGTTAAATATATTATAAGTAGATCGTAGTAATTATAGTAGACCGTCGTCATTTCCAGGCCAATGCGGGATACGTCAAGACACCTGATAAAATATATGACTACCCAGAGCTGCCAGATATCTGTTCATATAAGAACGAGGAACCTGTAGTCTGCTGTACTGATTGTAATATTTCTAATGCAGAACCGTAAGTAACAAGGCCTACCAGTCCTTCAGGTTAACAGACATCCAACAGATTTTTTATTTTTTATGAATATTTGTTCCTTTCCTTTGGCTGATCATGTAATAATAGATAGAAATATATGTAGATGACACACTAGATTCGTGTTATAATAACTAATGAGACTAGTTTCAATGGATTTTCACCTCTACCGAAAGAAGACGACTGATATGTATGCCTACTTGAGAGAAGGCTAATATTATCGTTGTTTTTTGTTATTTCAGGTTCCGTCATACTTCCATAGGACCTCTGGGAATTCCTAAAGATAATGAAGGCCCGGTAGCTTGGTCTAGTAAGATAATTAAAATAATATCCTAAATTTTTTATGATTTTTCGCCGTTATAATTGTCTTTCTTTTTTAGAATGTCTAGATTATTTAAAGGTTCTACCCTACCCGTGTCGGGCTCAAGGAAATTTCAAAGTGCAAAAGTTCTGGAAAGAAAATAAAAAATGTCATGCGATCCAGTTGGGTTATGCATTAGCTGTTGGTGGAAGAATGGCAGAAAGATGGGAATTTCCTCACATGGTAAGACATTAGCCCTGTAAAAGTTTCCAATTATTAGTTGATATGCTTTGCTTATATTAGTTCATTGATTTGAATAACAGGTTTACCTAGAGAGCTAGTATGACATTTGAGAGTATAATTTCAGTATATTAAATTGCTGTTCTCCATTTTAGGCTTTACTAGGATACGGAGATGAACAAAAATCAGCACAATGGCTTTGCGGAGGAACTGTGATCAGCGAGAGATTCATACTCACTGCTGCACATTGCATATCTACCAGAGCTTTGTAAGTTTCAGTTCACATTATATTGGTTGTACGTGTTACACTGGTCGTTTCATGTTTTTTTTTGTTGTTTGTAAATTCAAGGGGCAACGTCTCATATGCTGCACTTGGAATACTAAAACGCACTGATCCGAAGGAATTATGGAACATACATAACATTAAAAGAATTATTCCCCATCCTGAATACAAGCCTCCTTCCAAATACCATGATATCGCACTTTTGGAGACAGAAACTGAGTAAGTGTTTGAGTTTTAATAAGCTTGTAAAAAATATGATTTCTCTTACATTTCACAAGCGTTTGATAAAGATGCTAGCAAACATTGTCAGTAACTTAAGACTAATAATGATAAACATATTATAATTGAGAAAACTAATAACATTTTCGTATTTCTCTCACAAAATCAATATCACTTACCTACAGCTGTTTCTTAATTCAATACTAATACATTAAAGGTGTTCCGCAGGGAACTATGTTAGGCCCGCCTTGTAAAATTTGCTTGCATGTACAAACATGCACAATTATTTTATTAGCTCGTATGTACAAATGCATTTTTAACTATAGTCTGTTATTTCAGGATAAATTTTGGTAAAAATCTTCTGCCTGCATGTCTAGATACAGGAAAGAAAAAAGATCTCACGGCTGATGCTTCTGGTTGGGGCCGTTTGGGTCATATGAAGGATTTAGCTGATACATTGCAAGTAGTAAGTAATATACTTATGCACGATAATATTAAAAAAAGTTCTTATATTTACTTATATGCTCTCATTACAGGTGACTCTAACCAAGTTTGAAGAAACAGAATGTGCAACACTCTTCCCACCGCACAGACACCTGAAGCATGGATACGATCATGAAAAACAAATGTGTTACGGAAACCACCGAGAGATAATTGATACTTGTGAGGTACGCATGTACTTAGTATCGCAAAGAAGGATTCTGAACTAATTAAGCGAACGCTCTGCTTTGGTCTAAAAATGACCTATCAATTATTATTTCCCAAAATCCTCGAATCGCCATGAAATGAGGATTATCAATATTTCTTTAGTAACGTTTAGGAATATCCTTATTTCTTTTGAGTGCATTACCTCGATATTTTTATATTCTCCAGGGTGACAGCGGTGGTCCCCTCCAGACGAACCAGTTCAAATGTCAGTACACAGTGGTCGGCGTGACGTCATTTGGCAAAGACTGCGGCATTCTTGGCTCGCCTGGCATGTACACCAGGGTCTCATACTACGTACCCTGGATCGAGGGCATCGTCTGGCCTGAGGAGACAGAAGAACACAAGAAGAAGGACAATCTTTTGTTTGACAAGTGGCTAAATGCAACACAACAATAAATGTCATGACACGACATAATTCCATTGTTTTGAAATAATAAAACTAATAACTTTTAGCTCCTTGTCCTTTGTGCTTCCCCTATTACCTTTTGTGGTCGTATCTGAGTCCTAGTTTTGGATCAAGTTGGACAAAAGATTTTCATTTTATCTCTGACATGTAAAATGTTCAGCAGTAACTAAACGTTTTCTCAAACAAATATTTTTTAAATGACTGAGGATATAAAATGACTGTCAAAGGGCATTGACTAAAATTGGTGCCTTTCTTTTTTCTGGCGGCAGTCGATGATTTATGGAAAATATTATCTAGAATGTCTTTACAAACGAAATTGTCTATGGGCTCATATATGGAAATCTCAGTCTGGACTGAGTTATGAGCGTTAAAAGGAGCTGGGATCAAACATTTTACTTTCGTTTTTTTATCCAAATTATTCATATTTTTGTCACAATTCCTAAGTTCAAATTGCGCGCCACTGTACGCCGGGCACAGAAACACCAAATCACACCACAATATATCCATATTGCCAGTCGCTAATTTTTATTACCTATTTTCGCTCAGTCGATAACTTGTAGGATGCTTCTAGGAGTTGTGTTATGAAGCTTCATGAGTGTCAGCTGTGGTACCAGTGGTGGGTTGAGTAGTTGTAGCCGTCCAATCATCTAATAAAGTAATTTTTGCCGTTGACTCCTGGTGGGAGACTCATCTACTTTATAGTTAGAATAATCTTTTGAAGAAAGCAAACTGTCGACTTTGTAAAGTGATGAAATATACGTCAGATGAGCGCATAATTTTTTTATATAATGTGATCATTCGAAATGTATTACTTTGTGACTGAATGACGATGTCATTGTACAGAATCTTATGCTAGATGTAGATTAAAGTATTAACTGTAGTTAGATTAGTTACTAATCGGAAGTCGGGAGAAGTAGATAGAAAAATGATTTTTTCTTGTTTTGACGACTGTTACTACTCAATCCGCTACCGGCGCCGCAGCTGACAAACATAGCATTTCATGATAGGGCTCAGTAAAGTATTTTGCGGGTTTTTGACTGAGAGGAATTTGATCATGAAAATCTGTCATAGGCCATAAACCGTATAATAATAAATTGAATACGCTAGCCAATCAAACGAAATAATTTTTTTTTCATCAGCAGTGGTCAGTTAATGGTTCACTCTGTTCTGATTCCGTGGCCTTATAACAAAAAAAATAAATAAAATAAAAACAAATATAAAAAACAAAAAAAAAAATAAGTAAAAAAGTCCACAATAAGTTTATTATATTCCTTGATATCGTCTATAAACATTTATTACAAAATATTTCTGACAAGTAAATGAAGAAATATGCGTTGTGTACGGTCACCATCAACAAAATCACAGGAATTATATAGCACTATTTTCACATCTTTGAACTGATTTAACTCGGTTCGGACTGTGTTTTTGATATAAGACCCCATACATTTTTTTGTTTGTAAAGTTATTCTGCATTAGTTTATCCATATCCGATCAACTGCCGCGAAAAAATGAAAAGGCACCACGCTCCATACAAATTTGGTCATTGTCATTTATTTTTTTCAATTGACAATTTCCAATCGCTTTTGTGAGAAAGAACACCTACTTAACTTTCTAATTTAGTCATGTGACAATTGTTGAGGATGATGCATTGTCATAATACTGTTTTATTTTCGGACTACCTTTTTTCACATTGGTTCAGATTCGGCACTCTTTTTTATGGCATAAACCGGGAAACGAGCAGACGGATCTCCTGATGGTAAGCAATCGGCGTCTCCCATGGACGCCTGGAACACCAGAGGTGTTACAAGTGCGTTACCGGCTTTTTGGGGATTAGGAGTTTGAGGATCGATGGGGATTCAGGGATTGGGGAGATTGGGGAAGGGGAGGGTAATTGGGCCTCCGGTAACCTCACTCACACGACGAAACACAACGCAAGCGTTGCTTCACGTTAGTTTTCTGTGAGGCCGTGGTATCACTCCGGTCGAGCCAGTCCATTCGTGCCGAAGCATGGCTCTCCCACACTTAAAATTTCGAAATAACACCTAATATAATAATAAATGTATATTATTTAATCTCAAAAACATTCAATTACAATTACATGATTACGGTAAGTATTTACGAGGACGACCGGACTTTTGCCTTCACGAAAGCTGAAGATCGATTTACTTTGATTACAATATTCACATACCTACCTACATTGTACATTGTTATTTATAATACTTACGTAGGTAAGCAGGTATTTGTAATTAAATCTAAATCTAACCACGATTCTCATCCATAAGTACAAATTAACCATTATGGTACCCACATGTGATTAATAAACTAGTTTTTATGTAAGTATGAGCTTTGTGTTTATCATATTGCTCTGAGTCTCCGTCAGATATGGGTGTAAATATTTATAGAGTATTTGTGTTGTTAAACTTTCTATATTTTGTTTTGAGTGACCTAGATCTTAAAGAAGGTAAGTTTCCTGAGTTTTGTTAACCTAAGTGTCCATAGCTATGGTTTACTATCGCGTGATGCGTACATACGAAGCCTATGAAGTTATTACATAGACTAGCTTTTACTCGCGGCTTCGCTTGCGTCACAAAAGGATAAAAAGTAGCCTATGTGACATATACCAATACACACAGCGCCATCTATAACAATATTTTGGTTTTCCCTCGGGAATATCAAATTTTTCCAGGTTAAAAAGTACCCTATTATTTAATCCGGACTTCAAACTTTACGTCTGCAAAAATTCAAAGCAATCGGTTTAGTAGTTACGGCGTGAAAGTGGAACAAACAAACAAACTCACTTTCCGATTTATAATATTAGTAAGGATTAGTTGTTTAGACATATGTAGATTCCATTAGTTTTAATCAAAATGATGCTAATTAGTTACGGACTATTGCGAAATAATTATTCCTCAACAAAGTAGATACTGAGATAGTAAATTACAGACAACAGTGTCAATATAGGAACATTTCTAATGTCCTAAACGTTTCCGGCATTTCAGAAGACTAGACTAGAGGCTCAGATAGATAGCTCTTATGAAAATACGTTCAATTATTATTGAGTAGGTAGAAGTGTGTGTGTTTTGTGTTGCATCTGTTGCATTAGCATTTATCTGCGGGCGGAGGGCGGGGCTGCACACTGCATGATACAAATTCGTTCCTTCAACGGAACAAAAGATAAATACTTTTCCAATTGTTAGTCTAGCATGGATTTCCGCCTATTCAAGTAACACCTATTCTATATTATTATATACTATATAGATGTTTATATAGATTAGCGACTAAGTATTTATTTTGGAATGCAATGCAATGATAACGAACACGTGTTGACTTCTAAGCTTTGAAGTTTCTGCATCTTATTTATAATGTTGGAAGGGCCTTGCATTCAGCGGGTTTCTGTGATTTTTATTGACTCCTCTGTGGGTAGATGTATGGATGTCCTGCGCTGCGCTTGTCATGAAAACCAATGCGGGTGGCATATGAACGTACGATCATGGTGCTTACTCTTGAAACCAACCTCAATGTCAATGCAATATGCAATTGCAATCCAATGAAAACTTTATTATTATACAATGTCAAAACTATACAACCCCTATTGTAGCTATTATAATAGCATTCAGAGTACGGAATATGAAACCAAACTCAATACCATTTAGTTCATTAAATACCCACGCAATACGGATACAATGGGCGCCAGTGTTGAAACTCAAGAGTATGAAATTTCACAATACCGATGTCGATCTATCGGAATTGGATTCAAGAGTCCACAGATCATGATCATGAGTTACTAAAAATATATTCGCTTCCCAGAAATTAATCTGTAACCCTTAGAAGAGGGCCTATATTTAGCAGTGGACTTATAGTGGCTGAGTTATCATTATAATTTCCTATGTCGTTGATTCCTGTCTTGTGGCTTATGCAGATGATTTGTTTTATTACAGATGAGCCTTGTGTAACTGATGGACTCAACGGCACGTGCGTTGGAGTATTCCGGTGCCCCTCCGCATCCTTGACATACCTTTATGTAAGTATCGGTATATTTACCATCAGAGTGTCTATTATAATGATGTATCTTGAGAGGTAGACTTAACAAATAACAAATAAAAAATATTATATGGAAAGCGAGAGGTATGTAGGTACGTTACACTGATAAGTAGTAATTACTTGTACACACATAACCTCACACCTGACTCCCGTGGTGGTAGGTAAAGGCGTTTCAGTTCCGTATCCAGGACATAATCACCCTGATAAAGGAGACTGACCCGGATAACGTGCCCGATTTCGTGGTGAAGGACCTGCACAAACTGCCGCCCATCACGTCGTTTGATCACGTCGACGTAACCAGGCTTCTTGAAGACATTACATCCCTCAAAACTGACCTGGCCGAGCTGCAGTCAAAATTGGAGGTATCAAATAACACCATATGTGCCTTACGTGCCGAGGTAGTGCTGTTACGCAGCGCTATTTCGTTAACTGGGTCACCTGACGCCTCCGAAATGAACACACGACATGGAGTGGAAAACGCTGCGACCAGCGGTTCGTCGGTGGCGAGTGCGTCACCCATTAAAACTGCAAGCGTAGCATCACGCGCCACCGCCGCCTGCGCTTCGACATCTGTGCAAGTACAGGCTTGTGTAGGTACGTTGACCCCTAAACGTGCCTATGCAGATATCGTCGCCGCTAGCCATCCTGTATCATCACAGAAAAAGCAAGCGGGCAAAATAAAACTGGGTCAAGCAAACCAGCCTAGTCTGAAAAAGGACAAACATGACAATGATGGCTTCATTAACCCGTTGAAATTCATCCCTTAAATTTGTTCATACAAAAGTAGTCTTTAAACATTGTAAATAAGGTCTATAATGTTGTTAGTGAACAGTGGTCACCGGTGACCGCTTGGGGATGGATGTGTAGGTAGAAAGGAAGAAAAAGCCTCTTTGCCGCAACCAGTGCGGTATCGCGCTGGCAGGACCCAACATGCTGCTGCGTCCAGCGACACCCACGACGATGTTATACGTGTCCCGACTGCATCGAACCTACACGACGGTAGAGGATGTCGTGGAGTATATGCAAGTGAAGACGAACTGGACCTTAAGCGCCGTGAAGTTGGGAGTCACGCCACAATACTAACTTCAAGTCGTTCCTGGTGCGGGTTCCAACACATGATCTTAACATCTTTCTCAAGGAATAGTTTTGGCCGAAGGTTTGTATCGGCGTTCCCGTGGCCGGCAACGTGACACCAGTCAGCGAAACACGACGCCGTCTCGTCGTGTGCAATAATTATAATTATGAGTTTTGTTATTCTATATCTATTATTATTGATGTATTTATTTTTTGGTATCTGTTTCAGTTTTGTATTGTATTTTTATTTGTTTGTGTATTATATTTTATGTGGGCCACAGTTGTCTGAAATAAAGGAATAGAATAGATTATTTATTTGAAATGAATGTAGGTACAAATTATTAGGTGTTACAAAATTATTAAGTTCCTTGTACATTCTACCTTAATTGGCATGCAAATATACATTTTAAAAGAATTTATTAAAGCTTATCACCTAAGCATTCTTGTACTGAATAATAAAACTTATGCAAAAGTAATTTTGTAACATGCTTCTTAAATTTTGTTAGTGATTGTTCCTTAATATTTACTTATATTCGGTAACTTATTATAGACCAGTGATACAGACTATATACCTAACATCACGCCTTTTATTCCCGAATAAACAATGTAACACCCACTTTTCACTATTTATGTTATGAGTCCCATGTAATCGGGGGTGAACCTATTGCCATATACCGGACACAATTCCAGACTCCGTGCTACTACTGAGATTTTTTTTAAAACCCTGTAATTCTTTGCCCGACTCAGGAATTGAACCCGAGACCCCTTGCCCGGCAGTCGCATTTGCGACACTTGACCACAAAATAGATTTCACTGTGTATAACAAGTTGGTTGACCTGGTACCCGCTGTACAAAATTGAATTACTTTGTATTATGTTATAGTAAGCCAATTGTTGTCATGTCCAGGCTAATGCGGGGTACATCAAGTCACCCGATGAAATATTTGACTACCCGGACCTGCCAGATATATGTTCATATAAGAACAATGAACCGGTTGTCTGCTGCACTGATTGTGGTATTTCTAAAGAAGAACCGTAAGTAACAAGAGATATTGTCTATATCTTCTACCAGACCTTCAAACTACCCGTAAAAATTAATAAAGAATAAATTACATAAAATCTCGCCTTTTATCCCCAAAGAGGTGGCAGAGATATAATTATTAGTTTAATAAATGTACTTATACGATAATAATATTAATATTTAGGTATCTATCAAGTTAAGTACATGTGTATTTATGTATGTATGTATGCGCAACATGTCGCGGCTTCGATTATCGCACGGAACAATTATTTATGTGATCCATCACATCATGGGTGTGATATCTATGTGAACCTTAGAGTATAGTTGGTTTATACTCTAAGCATAAAAATCCCAGCATGGATTAACGTTAACAAAGTAATAGATTGAATTAGAAATGTAATTACATTAATAGCTTGAATGCACCGATATGAGACACAATAGAACATTGTGTCTTGCGGGGATCCGCGTTTAACCCGTCGTCGTGTGTTTAATCCAAATGTTTTAAGTCCGATAAATGACTATCCAGTAGGAGGATATGATAATGTTTTTTTTTATTTATTTTTTTTATTTATTTATTTAATGCACTAACTACTACCATTACAGATACATTCCAATACGATAGTGTAGCCATCAGTCTTACCACATCTTTTAGTAATTACTTATTATCTAATTATAATTAAAATAAAAACTTAACACTTATACATACCTATATACTAATACAATAAAGTTTCCCCTACAAATTTAACTGTTTAACATTTCTAACTACTGAGTAACAGAATCATAAAAACCAAATTCTTATATATAACACTTAAAATTAAATACTCACAATGAATCATAAACGATATTTTACTTAACACCTATTCAGTATTTACTTACTAACATAAACTATTATTACAGTACAAAACAAAGAAATAACTTCGAGACTTTTTTGAGAGAGTAAACAATTTTGAGTTTGGTGTATGTATCGAGTGTACCTATGCCAGTTTGTTAATATTATCGTTGCTTCTCGTAATTTCAGGTTCCGACATACTTCCATAGGACCTCTAGGGGTTCCTAAAGATAATAAAGGCCCCATTTCATGGTCCAGTAAGTAATTTATAACAATATCATTTTTGCATTGGTTTTACACAATTACTAGCTTTTGCTAGTGACTTTGCCCGCATTCTTCCGGGATAAAAAGTACCCTACCTACCTATGTGTTTTATCCAACTATAATCTACTGCATGCTGTTCCAAATTGGCTCCATCCAGGTCCCTTACGGAGTCGCGGAGAACCTAACGAGTTCCGGCTCGAAGAGCAGGAAGGGAACGGGAAGGTTTTTAGACAATAAGAGCCTGACACTCCCTCCCGCCTCACCCAGGCGGGAGCAGTAATTCAATGTTTTTCCCCCCTTAAAAAAAATCCGATACCTTCAGTGGTTTTGACGTGAAGTAGTAACAAACAGAGTCTGGCATTTAGTAGCATTAATCATTATATTTTAGCATGGGACCGAGGACCTGTATTTTACTATCTCACTCGCCAAATTTCATACCGCCTAAAATGTTTTTTCTCACCTTTAAACCTTCCCTGGACTTCTAAAAACATTTCAAGACCAAAATTTGCCAAATCGGTTAAGCTGTTCTCGAGTTTTAGGGAGACTAACGAACGGAAATTCATTTTTATTTATACACATATAGATAGATAGATAAATGTAAATCTTTCTGTTTTAGAATGTCTAGATTATTTAAAGATTCTGCCTTACCCGTGTCGGGGTATAGGAAATTTCAAAGTGCGAAAATTGTGGAAAGAAGAGAAAAGATGTCATGAGATCGCGTTAGATGTAGCACTAGCTGTTGGAGGCAGAGATGCACAAAGATGGGAATTTCCTCATATGGTAAGTAAGACACATAGGTACTACCTGTATTTGTTACTCTTAATCTAAGTGTGATAGTCGTGCTCCATAATCATACACCACCAGGTAAAATGATGGCCAAATGCCATCTTATTAAATATAAGAAAAGTTGACCTTTTCTTAACTAAATTTAAACAACAAGAATATGAGCCCCTAGCATGACTTGAAACTAATCGAGTTCCTCGTCAAACAGTTACGTGAGTAAGCCGAAACATTAATAATTAAGTTTAAACAAAGTTGCAATTCGCCCATTTTTTGCCATCCTTATCCTTGGAATTGAGACTATTGAGTATTGAGATATCTTTCACGGAGGTAGTACATGTAACAAAAACATCTGTACCTATCTATTTTATTCACATGACAGAGTGAGTCTATCTGTATAATTTCATCATTTTGTTTAAGTTACCAATTGAATTTCATTATCTGAGATACCTACATTGTAAGCTGTGGATAAGTTGCCAACTATTAATAACTAAAGATTTTTTATGGAATAGGCCTGCACACGAGCTGTCAGCTGAAGGTTACCTTGGTATGCAATCGGCGCCGTCTTTGGATAACCGCAACACCAGTGTTGCCGGCAGTGTTGTGTTAGGGATTATAGGATTGGAGATTGAGGAGATTGAGAAAGGAATTGGGCCTTCGGTTACTAGCACTAATTAATGAACTTAAGTGAGACTTGAATGATTGGCTTCTAATTTTTTCTTCCAACACCTCAGGAATACCTATAGAATCGATATTTATTATAGTTGATCTATTTTTTAGGCTTTACTTGGATATGGAGATGACGAGAATTCCGCACAATGGCTCTGTGGAGGAACTGTGATCAGCGAGAGATTTATACTCACTGCCGCACACTGTATATCGACCAGAGTTTTGTAAGATTCAAATGACATTATTATTGTACTTTTTTTTATTTTTTTTTTGTTTTTTTTTTGTTCACTTGTTATAGGTACTTCTCGTTTCATATTTTTTATTGTTTTACGGTTTTGTCACTTTAAGGGGCAACGTCTCATATGCTGCACTGGGCATGCTAAAACGTACTGATCCACAGGACTTATGGCGCATACATAAAATCAAGAGAATCATTCGCCATCCTGAATACAAACCTCCTTCCAAATACCATGATATTGCACTGTTGGAGACAGAAACTGAGTAAGTGTATTAATTTTACTATTCTTCATCATTCGCTGTCATTACCCTGTAAATGCCAATATACTGAGCCTCTTCTCACACAGAAAAAAATTTAGCATTACGCTTCATCAAGGCGGACATGGCGACATCAATCTTACAATTAGAAATTAAAATTCAAGTTTTCTCACAATCTTTGCCTTCAACGTATGGCAGTAGTGTCTAAATAATCTTAAGTATATAAAACTTGTATAACGTCACATTGGTACTTGCAAAGTTTCAAACTCACATCCTCATGCTCGAGAAGTGGGCGTATTTCTTGTACCTCTATATTTCACAAGTGTTAGATAGAGTTGTTAGCAAATATTGCGCGTAAATCTAAAAACTATTTATAACTTCAATTACTGTGATCATTATAAATGAGAAAGTCCTACAATCTATTCGCTTTCCGATCATGAAAATCTATCTCATTTACATCCATTTCTAAATTTAATACAAATACATTACTGGTGTTCCTCAAGGAACTGCATTAGGCCCTACTTATAATTGAACTTGTACATAATATTATAACTAGACTAAAACATGTTAAATGGTGATTTTCAGAATAAATTTTGGTAGAAATCTTCTGCCAGCATGTCTGGATACAGGAATGAATACAGAATCCACGGCTGAGGCATCCGGTTGGGGCCGTTTGGGCAGTATGAACGGTTTAGCTGATACATTGCAAGTAGTAAGTAATGCGCTTTGAACAATGTCCATTGTATAACAGAATATAAGCAGAAGGTTCTAATATTTCCTGGGATACTCTCTTTACAGGTGACTCTACAGGAGTTTGAAAATTCTGAATGTGCGACACTCTTCCCACCACACAGACTTCTGAAACATGGATACGATAATAAAACACAATCGTGTTACGGCAATCATCAAGAGATAATCGATACTTGTGAGGTAGGTACACACGTATATTAATAGATGCAATGAAAGACCCTGAACTTAGCAAACACTTAGTTGTTGAATTGGTCTTTTAGAATAAATGTTACGCAGACTTATCTTCAGCAGGAATATCTTTATTATTTTTATATCCTCCAGGGTGACAGCGGCGGTCCCCTCCAGACGAACCAGTTCAAATGTCAGTACACAGTGGTCGGCGTGACGTCATTCGGCAAGGAATGCGGCATCCTCGGCTCACCTGGCATGTACACCAGGGTCTCTTACTACGTACCCTGGATCGAGAGCATCGTCTGGCCTGAGGAGACAGAAGAACGCATGAAAAAAGACAATATTTGGCTTGACAAGTGGCTAAATGATAAACCTCAATAACGACATTATTTAATTCTAAAAATAAGAAATGTAATCATAATGAGAATAAATTTATTAATTTATGGCTCCTTGTCTTTTTAAATTAATATCCTTTTAAATAGCCTCAAAGAGCCATCAGACCACCACAGATGGGGCCCAACAGGGCCGATGCCGATTCGGAGTCGCGGAGGACCTAACGGGTAACCGGGGCTCCGGCTCGACGTGCAGGAGAAGGAACGGGGTGGTTTTTAGTCAGTAACAGTCTGACATTCCCTCCCGCCTCACCCAGGCGGGAGCAGTCATTAGATGATTTCCCCCCCTTAAAAAAATACCCTAGTTGATCTCAGTAGGTTCACATGGAACCTTTTTTCCATCTGGTGTGCTGCTACATCCTATTATCAAAATCTACATCACGATTCTCAGAGATCATTATTAATTAACCATTAGGTACAAGCGATGAATAACATGTTTTTGTGCAAGTTTGGGCACAATGTTTACTATTTGGCTCTAAGTCTTCGCAAGATATGGCTGTAGTTGTTAGTAGAATATTTGTGTTTGTATTATTTTTGTGTTTCGTCTCGTGCGATCTAAATCTTCAAGAAGGTAAGTCAGTCTTTGTTGTTAGAATTTTTAGAGCTAATTATTTATGCCTCGATTTTTTATCCGCGCATTAGCAAATAAGACAGTACGTATCTCTATGCAATAAAAAGCTCAAGTAGGTACTTACAATTTTTTTTATGTTTGGCTTGGAATTTATATACAAACCGACTCGTACTGTTACACCTGGGTGTTCTGAAGTTACTAATAATGAACTATTGGTTCATATAGCAAAATAATAGCTAAACATTTTTGTCTGTTATTTGTAATTTATACTTCATCGGGAATACATTTTTTAATAGGTATATGATTCATATTTATTAATTTGATTAGGTAGATCGTATAAGACTTGAATAAGTTCAATATTATTTTATCTACTGATAACTGTTGCATTAAAGGCACTTACTATAATAATAAAATGTGGTGTAAAGTCTAATTATGTATTAAGACCTTATAAAATAAATTCCCTTACTTCTTTGATCAAATCTTTGGCACAAGTCTGTCGTTTGGTAAAAAAAATGTATTGAAAATCATTCGATAGTTCTTCATTGTTTGTCATGACTCCGACTTTACCTCTAATATTATTTTATTATATTTATTTGAAAAAAGTAAATCTATAGTGTAGATATTAATTTTATGGTTCTCTTAGATGTCCGAAATAACTGATTATTATTTTTGATACACACGCATATTGACCCCTGACCTTATCAGTTTCTTTTCTATTAACTATGTTACAGATGAACCTTGTACAACTGATGGTATAAATGGAACGTGCGTTGGCGTATTTAGGTGCCCCTCCGCATCGTTGAGTTACCTTTATGTAGGTATTGCACTTAAACTCGTTACTTCTCTTTACGTCATTACGTACATCGTAACGTCAATAAGTAATAAGTGAGAATTTCAGAGTGAAAAAGGAATGCTCCCGAAAAACGCCGACGGTCATGGTAAATAATAAGTTGTATTGTCATAAAAGTTAGGAAATAAATGCTTATTTTATGTAATAATAGTTGTAATCAACTGATCAAGACTGTTGTTGCATGAATAACACAAGAATATATAATTATTAATTGGTAATACTTAATAATTTCTCTTTTGTCAGCGTTTCTGGAGCGTTTCATTTACACCCTGTATATTGTATTAATTATGGAATCAATATCAACAGCCCATACCAATATTGCACTATGGGCCTCCTTTTCAAAAAAAGAATTGTCATAATCATTTCGCTTGATAAGCAGGTTGGAAGAAACGATCTGGTATTGCCAGCATCCTTTTCTTGTCTTTTTTATGGCATAAGCCGGTAAACGAGCAGACGGATCACCTGATGGTAAGCAATCGGCGTCGCCCATTAACACCTGGAACACCAGAGGCGTTACAAGTGCGTTACCAGCCTTTTGGGGATTAGGAGTTAGAGGATCGTTGGGGTTGTCTTTTATATTTTTCTAATACCGATGTCTTCCAAAGATCTTCAGTTGGCGTTACCTTCATTTCTTTTAAGGGTTTATGATCTTTAGACGATTCGTCCAATTCGACGTCCAATCCTCTTCCATCCATCCTCTGCATTTCCCAAATCCGCAAAAGGCTGACTACAAAGGGAGACTACTCTGATGCTAGTGTCGGTTGCTTACCATCAGGTGAACCGTTTGTTCAATCATCATCAAATTGTCATCGCATATTTCAGGCTAATGCTGGTTTCTCCAAAGAAAAGTTTAATTATCCAGGGTTGCCTGACATTTGTTCGTATAAGAACAATGAACCTGTGGTCTGCTGCACTGAATGCGATATTTCTAACGCAGAACGGTAAGTACAACAATGACATTAGGAGCCGAGTAGTGAATCAGTTTGGGAGTACATATATATGTATATACTAGCTTTTACCCGCGGCTTCGCCCGCGTCACAAAAGGATAAAAAGTAGCCTATGTGACTATCCATACGTTCAACTACCTTCAGTTAAAAAATCACGTTAATTAGTACCTCCGTTCTGCCGTTTAAGACAGGCAAACAAACAAAAAGCTTACCGCTCGCGTGGAATTCGGTTATAATAAATAATAATAAATAAATAAATAATCTTTATTGTACACCAATTTGAGACAGTATATGAAGGAACAAATAAAGAAAATAGGGTACAAAGGCGGCCTTATCGCTAAAAGCGATATCTACCAGGCAACCTTTGGGTGGATAGAATACTATAGTAGGATATTAAATGAGGTAGTTATAGCTTGGCGTACTGAGGTGCTTATTTATATAATGTAAAAGAGAAAACATTAAAAAACAAATTTATTTACTTTTAATATAGAATTATATACATACATACACATACATACATACATACATACATACATACCTACATACATTCATACATATATACATATACTAATACATACATAAGTACATTTAGAAACAAGATACAATGACAGATAGGTGACACTAGGTGAAGAAACAACAATGAACTACAGTGTGGAGAGATAATGCTCCCTCACGCGTGCCTTGAACGTGACCAGTGACTTTGCTTGTTTTATGGAAGGGGGAAGTGCATTCCACAGTCGAATAGCTCGAACTGTAAACGATTTGTCGTAGGATTTACTCTCATGCTGGGGCATCTCAAGTCTCAGATCTCCCGACGACCGTACTGGTCTAAAATGTGTGTCATGGTAGAACTTGAAACGTTCTTTAAGGTAATATGGCGTAGTAGGATTAAACAGTATATTGTAGAGAAGGGATAGGATATGAGTATTCCGGCGAAGGCGGATCGGCAGCCACTTGAGTTTAGCACGGTATTCGGAAACGTGGTCATATTTTCGTAAGCCAAATATAAACCTTATACAGAAATTTTGGAGTCGCTCAAGTTTATCTAACTGCGCTTCAGTAAGGTCTGGATAGCTGACGTCGGCATAATCAAGAATGGGAAGGAGAAGTGATTGAGCAAGCGCAATTTTGGTAGCGGTTGGTAGAAAGTTTCGAAGTCTACGTAAAGACTTGGCTGACGCAAATATTTTCCGGCTGACCTGCCCCAGTTGCGGTCCCCAAGAAAAGTCTCGATCTATGGTAATGCCTAGATTTTTCACTGAGTCGCTGTATGGTATTATGGTACCGTTAAAAACAATAGGTGGAATCTGCGACCATGTAATTTTGCAACGTAACCGAGGGCTACCGACTACAATGACCTGGGTCTTCGCAGGGTTAACCTTTAAACCGTAAGCCGCGCTCCATTCTGAGATTCGAGCTAAGTCGGTATTCACCATTTTTACCGCCTCGGTGAATTCACCAGGAGGTGCCTGAGAGTAAATTTGCAGATCGTCAGCATACAAGTGGTAGGAAGAAAGAAGTTCATCAGAGATAGAATTTATAAAAATAGCAAAGAGTAGAGGAGAAAGAACGCCCCCCTGCGGTACGCCAGCAGTCGTATCAGACCAGGAGGAGTATGAACCTTCAATGGCGACACGCTGCCGGCGGCCAGACAGGTAACTACGAAAGAAATCAATCACAGCCGGCGATATGTTAAGAGAGCCCAGTATTCCAAGTAAGATATCGAAATCAACGGTGTTGAATGCATTGCTAAAATCTAGCAAGGTAAGCAGAGTTAGATTGCCGTTTTCGATACCCGATCGTATGTCGTCTGTGATGTTGACAAGTGCTGTAGTGGTACTATGCCCCGGACGGAACCCTGATTGGTAAGGATTGAGGAGACTGTGTTTGGTGAGGAAAGCACTTAGCTGGTTATAGATGAGGCGTTCCAGGACTTTAGAGAGGAAGGGTAAAATGGAAATAGGACGGTAATCAGAAAAGGAGTCTGGGTTTGGTTTTTTGGGAAGAGGAGTGATTTGTGCGTCCTTCCATGCAGAAGGAAAAATGCAGCTAGATAAGGAATAGTTAAGGATATGGCAAATGACAGGAAGGATTTCGTCCAGGACAGGGAGTATCATCTTACGGCTAACACAATCACTCCCCACCGCATTGGAACTAATGGAAACTATACTCTTCCTAACATCACAAGCTGTGAGTTGATTAAAGGAAAATTGTGAATAGTTGGGAGAAGGAAGAGAAGAAAGATAGCTTAAAGTTTTAGTTTTGATAAACCCATTAATATTAGGCGAAGAGGAAAAGTGTTTATTAAGAGATTCAAAGTCCAGGTTTCTAGTAATCCCGTCCCGACGCAGTTTCCCAACTCCCATGGATCTTAGGAATGTCCAGATCTTGGCTGCGTCGCCATTCTCTACAGATTGATGAATGTGGCGGCGTTGTGCATCCCTACACATCTTGTTGCTACGATTTCGAGCTGCAACATACTTCTCGCGGTTCACAGGATTAGGTAGGCGTTTAAATTTCGATTTCGCAGCTGCTTTCCTGTGAATTACAACCCTGATCTCTTCTGTCAGCCACGGCGCTGGTACATGTTTTATTTTAACTGGCCGTATCGGGGCATGGA